CTCTTTATGTGAAGTTGTTAACGTGTTAGCAATCTTGTTAAACACGAGTGTTGTATAGTATTTGAGCGTGTTTATTTTTTTGCTTAAACAAATAATTTTAATCGATAATGAGAAGAAGGTGGTGGCGTGGGAAGTAAGAACGATGAACAGATAAATAGGAGAGTCAAATAATGCCGTTGTGGACTTTTGTTTGTTCTGTCAATTTCTTTTGACGAGTTCATATCAATTTTACCGTTGTACAAAAATAGTTTTGGACACTTGATACGAGACAAGAACACAACGGATGGAAGCGTGTGGAAAATATTTACACAGATTTATAAAACATTTAAAAGATTTGCTTAGTTGTCTAGTGCTTAATTACTGTTTGAAATCTATTTGATATAATGTAATAAATGGTTGTATACCAATATGTGATTCTATACTATAAAACAACTAGACATGTAAGAATTTCAAATAATAAAATAAAATTTGGGTAGGGTATCCTATTTTATTTTAGTATAAAAGAATTGGTTGGGTACAATAATAGAGATTAAGTCATTAAGGTAGCTAATTAACCAATAAGGAGGTTTAAGTAAATAATTTGGTAATGTGTAAATATCATATAGTTGTCGAATCTTGTAAGTCAAATGTTATCTACCCTATAATATAATCTACTTGTTTTATGTAAATCGACCAACCTAGGACTCTTGGTTTGGTTACTAATCAATTTGCAATTCCACCTAAACAAGTGCCCAAAAAATCAAATACATAAGAAAATGTGTCATTTTTCATTACCTTTAGCCCATCCTTTTTATTTTATACTGCAGTTTATAATCCCATGCTTTACATAAATGGTCCATGTCACATGTTAGAAAGATCCATGATTATTTTTTTTCAAAATTATTTAAAAACTGAAATTTCCTTCAAAACTGAAAAAAATGATTTTTTTTTTTATTGAAGCTCAAAACATTTTCACATGTAACTAAGGTTACATCAAGGTCTAGGTGTACCACAATCATCTTATGAACTGTTTCTTGCACTAGTCATGTCCAGTTTCATCACGGCCTCTTGGAGCTGGAGCCGTTTAATTTTCCTGAGTTCAAGAATGCTTGGTGGCATTGGTTTAATGGAACCATAGAGCTCAACAAGAGTGAAGAACTCTTGTTTCGAAAGACTTTTCTTCTGAACCAGTTTCTCTACCACCTCGTCCATAAGCGTCCGGTTCTTTTGGAGAATCTGGTGTATGCATTTTGTAAATCAAACTTAAACATAACCAAAATAAAGGATACAAAGTACTCAATTTAGATTGGTATTTACCTCTTTAGCACGGTCGTAACACATGTTCAATATCCGCAATGCCTCTACATCAATATCCTGCAAACCAATCCAAGTAAATGAGATGATGATATTCGTTTCAAAGACAATTCAAGATATGGACTTACGTTGATACGATCAGCCAGCCAGAAGTTATTCAAGCCATGATGTTTCTCAGAGAGACCACCAAGAACCAGTGATCTAGCAGCTGACCTTGCATTATCTGATGTTTCAGACCATATGGTACTTAACTGAAACCAATCATTAGCAAAGATGTTTTAAAGGTAAGGCCAATATGGTAATTTACTGCATCATGGGGTTAAAGGAGAACACGTTTCTCACCTGATCTTCACCGTACCAAAGTTCATCAGCAGCACGAGGTGCTAACTGAACAGTTATGTGATCCAAAAGAGATTGTCGGCTGCATATAGTATAGACCACAAAGGAGACAAAGATCATAAAGACCTCATGTTTAATCAAGAAATCGAATATGTTTTCATTAAAGCCACAGACCTAAGCATGCCTTCTTTGAATTTGATGTGATCCATCTTCACCCGGACATAACCTAATTCTCTACCAGCTCTAGGGTTGATTGTCAGCTGATCAAAGTCAATTGAAACGTCAGTCAAAAACGCAGCTAAGAGAGTTTGAAAGGAACAAAAAAAAGGGATTCTAAGAAACGTACAAATTCTATATTCTTGAGATCAGGAAAGTTCACTGCCACAACAGCCATAGCAGCTTCGTTTATAGCAACCTGTCTCCACGTCTCCGAGCTCCTATCTTTTCTATCTAACATTCCTCTTTCTTCTATTTGTGCAGCTTGAAGTAAATCATCTGTTGTTAACTGCATTAGAAATTACAGATAATATATAGATCTGTTAGTCTTCTACTTGCTGATATCGAACTTCTTAACTTATTATATACCAAATGCTACGTGATCCTATCATTTGAACTCAAAACCATCCAAAGGACTTAAAAATAGAGACCATACCTCTGTTCTTCCATCACGCATCATATTGATAGCAGCTATCTCAACGATATTAGCAAGCTCTGCTCCAACCATGCCATCTGTCATGCTAGCAACTGCCATATAGTCCAAATCTTCAGCCATTGGCTTCTTACGAGCATGAACCTGAAACAAACAAACAACACAAAACAAAGATATAGCTTTCGACCGAGGAACAATAACTTCACTTTACAGACACGAAGCCATTACCTGAAGAATTTCCATCCGTCCGATAAGACCAGGCTTAGGAATGAATATTTTACGGTCGAATCTTCCAGGCCTCACAAGCGCAGGATCTAGAATGTCTGGTCTATTTGTGGAAGCGATGGTAATCACCTCTCCTCTTCCTTCAAAACCATCTAAAGACACAAGGAGCTGAAATAAACAAAAAACCGATTAACACTTCCATCATAAGAACCGAAGAAGACTATTACACAATCTATAATGTCCGAAACCTGATTAAGAGTGGCATCCCTTTCTTGTCCACCAGAGCCCTTTATCAACCCACGCTCCCTTCCAACAGCATCCAATTCATCAATGAAAACCACAGATGGAGCCTGCAGTGAAACCACTTTAAAGATTAGCATCCAGTAACAGACTGAATCTTCACTACTACTACTACACAATGTGATATCATCAGAAAAGCATCAAAGAAGTATTGTTTTAGTGAGAACTCAACACATGTACGCAAAGTTACAAGTACTTACATTGTCCCTAGCTTCCTGATACAATGCTCGTACACGAGAAGCACCAACACCAACGTATATCTCAACAAACTGAGAAGCAGAAATAGAGAAGAAGTTCACTCCTGCTTCACCAGCTACAGCTTTCGCCAGTAACGTCTTCCCCACTCCAGGAGGCCCACATAACAGAATACCACCTGAAAGAAAACACAAAATTAAAAAACAAACATAGGTTATATATAACTCTATAACCAAATTGTCACAACATCCAAACCTGGAATCTTGACTCCTCTCCTACGATACATCTCTCCATGAGTGAAAAACTTAACAATCTCCTCAAGTTCAAGACGGATCTTCCCAAGTCCAGCAACATCTGTAAACTTCACATCCACACCCCTCTCAAGATACTCAGGCAGCCTCTTATTCGACGCTCTCCTCACACGTGCACCTGACTTCATGAACTGCTTAGCCATCTGTAAATAAGGATTCTTCTCACCAGTTCCTCCTTCCTCACCCTCCTCACCATCATCATCTCCAACCTCAACTCCCTCCATCTCCCTCTCCAACTCCCTCATCTTCTTCCTCTCATCAGCCTCCGCCTTCTCAATCTTCAACCTATCATCATAATCCTTCTTCTGCTTCCTATAGTTCAACACCACAACACGGTAAAAGATATAAAAAAAGACCAAACCAAGAGCTGTCGCCACGTTAGGATCCTCAGCCAATCTCGCCCACATAAGCCCCATATCTCTATAGTTCCTCCTCGCTTCAACCAAACTCTCTTCATACTTCTTCTTCCTAAGCGCTTTCCTCTTCTTCCTCTCCTGCTGTTTCTTCTGCGCCTTCATTGTCTTCTCCATCACCTCCCTCTCCTCTCTCATCATCTCCATCTCCTCCTTCCTCTGCCTCTTGAAATCCTCCCTCATCTTCCTCAACTCCGCCGCGCGTTTCGACTCCTTCTTGGGCTTAACCAATGTCAACATATAAGAAGGCACTTTCCATAAGAACCCTAAGTAAGGAGTGGGAACAGGAGGCTTCTTAACAGGTGGTGAGTAAGCGTTGACACATGCCTTCTCAATCCCTAACTCATCCCATTTCTCCCAAAACCTTTTATTACCGTCTAGAGAAGGTAACACAGTTCTTAACACTTGAGAGTCTTCTAAGACTACTAACACGGGTTCTGACTTTTGTTTCAAGGGTGAAGAGGAAGGCTTTATTACGTGTTTGAGTTTACCTTGTGATTTTAAGGTTAAGAGGTCTGTGTATGGTATGCGTTTGGAGACTACAGGGAGGTCTTTGGACCAGGATTTGAGTTGTTCGAGTGTTAAAGCTTCTTGTGGTTTCTTCTGGCTTCTCTTCCTCTCTGATACTTTCTTCTTCTCGGCGGATACGGCGAGGGAGGGTTTAGGTAGAGAAGTGGAGATTATGGTGAGTGTGATTGGTATTGTTGCGAGGAGATTGATTTTGTTTGATTTGGATTTTTCTTCGTCTTCGTTTTGAGGATTGTTTGTGGGTGAAGTGTTTTGGCATGAGATTGAGGTTAATCTTAAGGTTCTTGGGTGGTTTGTTGAGGGAGAGAGGAATTGAGAGTGTGGTGATGAATGTAGAGGGAAACGGTAAGCCATTGGTGTGATTTGATTAAGGTGGAAATGAGCTTCACTTACATGAAGAAGACGAAGTGAATTCGCAACTCAGAGGACAAAGATTCGTGCCTCATTGCCCAGGTAAGAGGATAGAAGAAGCGGACAGAACATAGAACTACTTAGATCTTAAAAAGCCTATTAACATTAAGAAAGGCCCATTTATCTCTCAAAAATTAGGCCCACTACTAGCTCTCAAATTAATTTTCCAGTCCAGACGCTATAGAATGCGTTCTCAAATCGGAACGCGGAAATTTTGACGTTTTTTTTATTTATTTCGTGGTTGCTTTTGAATAATTTAAAGAATTTGTTGAAGCAATTTTTGTCGTTTATATGTGACTCGGTCAACAAAATTCAAAAACTTTGGAATTGGAAGATTCGCTGACATCGTTTGAAACAAACAAATTCCAAAATAAAACATCCATAACAACAACACATGATTATTGTATGATGATAAAACATCATTACAATAATTAGACGCAAAAGGACAAGGGTAAACACAGTAATAATTCTCTACTGGTAGCGTGAGAGACTAAGAACGTCGAGAATAGAAGAAGGAGCGAGGAGGAGAAACGCGAACAAGGCGAAGACGACGGATATTGCGAGATGGTCACAGAAGAAACCTAGAGATTTGCAGAAATTGGGAAGAGGCATGTGTCTGATTCCTGTTCTGTTCATATTCGTCACTCCTAGAGCCGCTGATCCTCCACTCACCATCGCATATCCCAATATCTGATCAGCAACGAAGCAAAACCATGCTTGTGTTCTTGTAGGAATCACCGGAGATCTTCTCCATAGTCTTGTCCCGCTTATAACCAGTTGCAGTAATGAGTAAATAACCGTCGCGGATGAAACCACCACTAGGTATCTGTAACATTAACGACCATTCTCGTGATTGTTACAGTCAGTTATATAATGTAATGTATCGTGTGTGATTATGAAGTGGGCTTACATGAGGGAATCTGAGAGAGACCAAACGGCGTTGAGCTGAAACTCGAAACCGTAGAGAGTGGTCATGCTAGTCTCACGTGCTGTCACCATTAACGACACAGCCACCGCGGATGCAGCCATGCACATGGCTCGTAACATAAACATTGCCACGTCAATGCGTCTGCCGCCGTGACGGCTATCCTCTCCGTATGTGGTGGCTGTGGTGACCACATCGCGAATATCAAGCTTCGTGACTTCCACAGTATGAGAGTCTTGTTTCTGCTCTGTTGCTTTCGCCATTGCCTCTCGTATAGTCAAAACTACTCATACTAGTTAAGGGGTATATAAACACACATGCTGGATACGTGGCTAGTTTGTACTGGAAGCTTAAAACACTGCCCGTGAGGCTTCTCAGGGCCTATGTAATCAGTGTCTTTCAAAGTATTTGCAATGGTGGTCGCTCTGCACGAGGCACGACCTCTGTCTGCTCAAATACAAACAAAAATAAACTGCTACAAAAATGAATTTTTAAAATCAGATTTATGCCAATCATAGCTGTCGTCAATACAAAGACCATTTTGAAACACCTCTTACAATTTGAAACCACGCTCTGAATTTACTTAACCACTCACTACCCACAAAAAAAAACTTCCATTTAACTGTGTAAACTTTTAAACACCGAACATCAAGTCAACGAACTTTGAGACCACCGACTTTGATGGAACGGCCATGGCGCCACCGTTTGGTTGAGGGGAGAAGGCGCTTCCGTTTTGCAAGTAGTGAGGACGAGAAGAGGCTCCCCTAGCTGTGTTAAACTCGGTTTCTCTAGTTGATGATGGTGGAGGTAAAGGCATGAATCCTTGGTTGTTCAGCCTTTCGTTTAAGGCTTGCCTCTGTATTGGGTCTACTGGCTTTACTCCTACTATTATCACTCCGTTGATCGTCATCCCGGTTTTGCTCAGAGCCTTCTGTGCGTCGGACCGGTTCTGCAGTATCAAACACCCAAAACATTGTTACTTTGTTCCATTAGTTCGATTCATTCAGAAGATTTATCTTCATGAAGCAAAAAGGCTAGAAGAGTAACCTGGTAGAGGATGTGCATCCAGTTAGCATTCCTTGGACCAGGAACATGTTTCACGATCATCCCACACTTTTCAAACTCTCTTAGTACCAAATTTGTATCACTTGGAGAAAATCTGAAAGCAATTAGTTATTAAGATCAGCTCGTCGGATCAAAAAAGTGGGTGACAGACACAAGAATACAAGATAATGCACTAAATAACACTACCACTATACCAGTATCACCCATGTAAAGAGAGAGAATTCACACTACTCAAAAGTAAAATCACAATCAAAGGCTGAGCCATATCTGATTAATGATTAGTACAAACTAAGCACCTAGAGTTACATAGACAGATAAAGGATGACAAATAAAGAGAGTAAACAGCAACAGTTTCTATAAGTAGTTAAGGCAATTGATAACACTACAAATATACCAGGTATACACAGAAATAGAAACATTTTAAAACAACAAAGCAATGAAACCTTGAATGAACTTACCCATAAACAGTAACCCACTCCTCCTCTTGAACATTCCCCGTGGGTATAACCTGCCTCTGAACCTCAGGCCTAGCAACTTCCCTCGGCGGCGGAAGAGTAACCAACGCACCAGGCTGAACCACACCTTCAACGGGAGACCCTTTCCCTTTATCCTCCTGCTCAGCACTACTACCACCTCCTCCCTTCGCCTGCGACGACCACCAACTCGGACTCCCTGACACTTGCTGACTCTGTTGCCCACTCAGCAGCGAAAAAGACGAGCTTGCCTCCAACTTCCCTTTACCGGGAGTCACAACGTTCTTCCCAGAGCTCTGAATAGGCGTCGTCCGTCTCTCGGATCTAACATCCGGAGAGGCGGAGTAGTCTGCAATGCCAGACTCAGGAGAGAAATCTGAGCGGTCGTCGAGAGTATACATCGGTGGAGGTGGAAGATCCGAGGCTCCGAGATTCTCGCGCCATAGTGCGGAGACGGCAGCTGCTTGCCCCGGGGTTGAGAATTTTCCGCGGCGTGCGGAGACGGGAGAAGCTAAGTCTTGGAAGAGGAGAGATTGTCTTCCTGTTTTAGGTGTCCTGTGAGCACTCATGATGACTGACTCTCCTTAACAGAAACAGAGTTTTTGTTGAACTATCTTCCTGCAAAGGCAACAACTTGGTGAACAAGACGTCATTAACAGCAATTAAGGACTCTAATACACGCCGTTAGATAAAAAAATGTTATAGTTAACGGAGTGTTCGTTACAAACAGAAGCTAACCTTACTAGCAGAATAAATGAATCTAGAAATGCAAATCACTAAAATATAACAATTAATAAGCTTACTACAAGAGCAGAAATCGATTAAACGAAATTATCTAAAGTTAGCGACTGAGAAGAAGGCAGTGAGATTGACGCTAATTATCGAAAACTATGAACAAGCATACTATTGGATGGATCGATAGAGAGATGGATAGAAACCTGAAGATGGAGACGGTGGCGGTGGAGTTTTCCGATCTGGGAATCTCGGAAAAGCTCAGCTCGCGAGCTCAAAGGGGGAGCGGAGGGAAGGAATTAAAACCCTAAGAGAAGAGCCAACAAACTCACAATAATAATAAAATTCAAGAGTATTTGGAAATGACGAGAATAACCTCGCGTTTAAACAACGCCCGCAGCATCATATGGGCTAAACCCTAAACATGGGCCTAGTTGGGCCCACCCGTTTTTCTTTATAAAGTAAAACTCTGGCATTTTGGGTAATTAAAGTAAGCAAAATCCTCAACCTATTCATCGTGATGGAAAGTGGAAACTTAAATGGTATAGTAAACTAATCAATCCTATAGAGAGATTTGGGGTTTGTGACAATGTACGGACAGGATTGATTCACGGCAAACGACGTCGTTTGTGCGCTACAGAAGCGTTTTGCTACACAATGAGACAGGGCTGCGTTTTATTTGGGGGTTGGGGTTAGTGATTAAAACAGTCCACACGCTCACCGCGTGAGAAGGCTAGGCTTTTGAAATTTCCCTTAGCGGCGCGCGATTTGCTTTCTGCTGCTACGCGACAATATTCACATCTCCTCAACGTCATCCTCGATCTTCCTTTTTGTTTCCGCCTTTCTCTTCTCGTCAGATATGGAGAGTTTACTGGTGAATAGTGTGGAGAAAAACCTTACCCAGTTCATGTTCTCTAATGCGATCTTCCTTTCCCAACGTCTTCTCGCCCAATTCCCCTCCGAGGTTCCGATTCTCTGTTTCCTTCTTTCTCGATTTCCATTTTTCAATTTTCAATTCTGTGATTGATCACATGAATTTTGGCTAGAGATCATTGTAGGTCGCTCTTTGTGGTCTGATCCGATCTTATACTTTTTTTTTTTAATTATTAATTCTGTGTAGAAGACTTTAGAATTTATAGGGATTCAAAATCCGAGTTTTTTTTAACGGCGTAGTTATAACTTTGTCCCCTGTGAATCTGGGTGGACAACAACAATAATTACAACACATTCATGATGCAGGTGAACCTGCAATTGTTAGCTAGGTGTTACTTAAGTAACAGTCAACCTTATAGTGCTTATTATATCCTCAAAGGTAACTTACTACATTATCCACATTCTCATTCTCCCCCACACTGTACTTTCTCTTTTTGAAATGCTAAATTTTTATTTTATTTCACATTGTGATATTAAGGTTCAAAAACGCCGCAGTCTCGGTATCTCTTTGCATTCTCATGCTTTAAGTTGGATCTTCTCGGAGAAGCTGAAGCTGCATTGTTGTCCACTGAAGATTCTCTTGAACAAGTACTTCTCTTATTAGAAGTTGTTCCATATTCTCATGGCAATTTTTTCAAGTGCTGATTACTATGCTCTTAACTTGTAGGTTCCTGGTGGTGCAGCTGGGCATTATCTTCTTGGTCTTATCTCTAGGTGACGCCTTACTTTTCAAGTTTCTATAGAGATGTTGTTGTCTCTTGCCTGCTTTAATGTTTAGTCCTTCACTATCTTTGGTTACTGATTCTATAACAAGCTTATTCATTTACTACTTCTCTTACTACCAACTGGAATGTGTGTTGCTCTCTGTTATATGCTACAAGATATACTGGGAGGAAGAATAGTTCGATACAACAGTTTAGGATGGCACTGTCATATGATCCATTGTGTTGGGAAGCATATGCAGAGCTTTGTAGTTTAGGTAAGTGAAACCCTCTGTATGAGTTTTGTTAGTTTATTTTTCTGGTATCGCCATCTAGAACAGTAGATTTATTTATTCTGCCATTACCTTATCAGGTGCCGCTGAAGAAGCCTCAATGGTTTTTGGCAATGTCGCTGCCCAGCGGCTTCAGAAAACTCACGTCTCACAAAGAATAAATTTTTCGGAAGGAGAAACCATGGACCAGATTATAGATTCTGATAAGGCTTCAAAAAATACCAGTGAGAACCAGGAAGATCTGAAAGGCAAGCAGCTTGGAGCAGAGATTGCGCCAGATACTAACAAGCAACCTAACGGTAGTTCTCATACAAATGGATGGGACTTGAATACACCTTCTCCAGTTCTTCCCCAGGTGATAACTTTAAGTCAAGCTGGAACAAGCGCGCATTAGTTAATAAATGTTACTAGCTTAAAATTCTCAGTTTTCTGATTGTCTGTTCTATATTTCCTTTATTACCTGCTTCCTTATCTCTAAGTATCCATATCATTCAGGTATTAGATGGGCCACCGCCTATGCTCTATAAGAGGAATACGGGTCGTCCAGAAGTGGAAGGATTGATGTCGGTACATGGAGAGTCTCGAAGAAAGTTTGTTAGTGAAGAAGAGTCATCAGAGGTTGTCTATCTGCAATCAGCTTTCTGTGCATATATATTTGATATAAAGCTTTCCACCTCGTTTCTTCTTCCAGCTCTACGGCTGGAATGAATCGGTTGTTTTATTTCAATGACAATCTAATGATACTTGATTTATCGGTTTTAATCTCCCCTTCATCTATCTTGAAGGCTCCAGAAGAATGTGGGCGTCGCCGGAGTGCTAGAATAGCAGCAAGGAGAAGGATTCCTATGTTGCACTCATATGGAAAAGATTCGCATGGGTTACATCATTCACCTGCAGAATCAAACGGTGTACCTTCTCTTTCCTCGATGATTGGAAAATGCAGAATCCAGAGCAGCAAGGAAGGTGATGTTTCCTTCTAATATTTTTCTTCTGTTTTTAAACCGGGCTATAGAGTATCAACTGGTTGTTGTTTTCGAAAGAACTTTTGAGGAAAGAGCGAGATGCTGGTACTAAGATTTTGAACATATGTGTCTGCTGGTTCCTGATACCGTTAATGTAAATGGTGCAGCAACGACGTCAGGACAGTCTATAAACGACTCTGGAAGCTCTGTTGATGATGAGCAAAATTCAAACCCTTGTGGATCTTCCCCGGATCCTATCAGTCTCATGGCTGGAATTTCAGAAGTGCTAAACCTTCTGAAAATTCTTGGAGATGGCCACAGGAATTTACTTATGTACAATTGTCAGGTACTGTATCAAGAAAATATACCTACGTTTTTATACTCTTCAAACTGATTTCTCTGCCTAAACTGGCTCTACTACTGCAGGAAGCTCTGTTGGTATATCAAAAGCTATCTGAGAAACAGTACAATACACACTGGGTTCTCATGCAGGTATATGAAACAATGACTGGATTTTTTTTTATGTGTATCTAAGTCAGCTTGAAATTATCATATTAGTTAAAGACATGTGATACGTTTTGACATAGATTGGAAAAGCATATGTTGAGCTACAAGACTACTTCAACGCTGACTCTGTCTTTACTCTTGCTCATCAAAAATCTCCTTATGCTTTGGAAGGAATGGATACGTACTCCACTGTTCTTTATGTGAGCGGTTTCTATCAGTATATTCAAGTTTCCTGCTAATCATTATCAACATTATCCCATGATGTTGACTCTTAACATTGTCTTGTTGGGATACCACCACTCAGAGCTTTATTTAAAACAAACCTGCAACGATTTCTATGTTAGTTTTTACGTTGATTGATTTCGTGTCTCATGTTTTTGAAGCACCTGAAAGAAGAGATGAAGTTGGGCTATCTGGCTCAGGAGCTGATTAAAGTTGACCGCCTATCTCCAGAATCCTGGTATCCTTCTTAAAATCTTCATTACCTCTTCAAGCTTAGTTTTGAGAAATCAACCACACACGTCTGAGTACAGACTTTGACACCCACATCTTTTAACCACCAACCTTAAATAGGAACCAGCTCTTTTAGTACTACTAGCTTATTTCAATACCTGAGACTGCAAAGTTATTTTCTTCTTTTGGCTTGGTTTCCTTTTGTTTCTTGTAATGACTGTGTTAGCAATGCGAATGGCAGGTGTGCTTCAGGGAACTACTACAGTTTGCGTAAAGATCACGAAACTGCTCTTAAGATGTTTCGGAGAGCTATCCAACTAAATGATAGATTCACATATGCACATACCCTTTGTGGCCACGAGTACAATTCTTTTCGATGCCTTTCTTTGTTCTCACTCTGCTATTAACCAAACATGTACAGTAATACCATACTGTTAACTTCACAGGCTTGCTGCATTGGAAGACTTTGAGGATGCAGAGAGATGCTACCGGAAGGCACTGAGCATAGATACAAGACACTACAATGCATGGCACGGTCTTGGAATGGCCTACCTTCATCAGGAGAAATTCGAGTTTGCGCAGCATCAATTCCAAATGGCTCTTCAAATAAATCCAAGATCTTCAGTCATCATGTGTTACTTTGCAATCGCGTTGCATGAGTCAAAGGTTTTGAAATATACTACTATTTATGACATTTGATGTTCTGATTTTGTTGTGAAGTTAAGCTTATTAGATAAAAGATAAGACACAGATAATAATTAAGGTTGAAATAATATTTTGCAGAGGAACGATGAGGCGTTGAAGGTGATGGAGAAAGCTATAGTTGCTGATGCTAGGAATCCGCTCTCGAAGTACTTTAAGGCTAACATATTAGCCAACCTCGGTGATTATCACAAAGCCCTGGAAGTTCTAGAAGAGCTTCAAGATTCTGCTCCTCAAGAGAGCAGTGTCCATGCGTTGCTTGGCAAAATCTACAAAAAAGTAAAGCTATACGACAAGGCCGTGTTACATTTCGGCATTGCGTTGGATTTAAACCCATCTCCATCTGATGCTGCCAAAATCAAGGTTAAATACACTTTCACTATTATTTAGTCTTCACGTATCTCAATCATTGTCTTGGCTTACGAGTTTGGATTGGGATGGAATATTATGGTAATATTTTAAGTTTAGGGTTTGATAGAAGTTTCTTCATTGTGACTACAGGCTTGCATGGGGAGGTTAACAGTACCAAACGAGTTGGAGACAGACGAGGATCTCTAGAATCATTGTGCAGGTATATACACACCCAGTTATGTTTCTCGTATAACCCAAAGTCATCTTTATTCGATTAGTCGTGATAGGAATATTCCTAAAACTTTGCTAATTTCACTTACTGGTTAAGAAAGAAAGGGGTAGTTTCAGAGATTTGCATGAAGTTGGGTTGTTGAATTAAACTTGCCTTTCTTCTTTGCCTAAACTTT